ATTCAATATGGTCGCGAGAAATGTAAGAGAATTCGTATCAAAGTTACATCTCTAGGGATGGATGAAAAAACAGCTGCAATGAAAATACGTATCGAAGGTGACGATATACAAGAGATCACAATGGCTAAAGTTGCATTTGATACATTGATGAAAGGAATGGAATATAGATACAAAGACGATAGAGAGAAAGTAAGTTATATAAGGAAAAGCTTCTTGTTGTTCAACTACTGGCTTTTGCAAACTTCTAGTTAATTTGACTTTGTTGAGTCTGAGTAGTAGTACAACATCGGTACGTAAGACTACGTAGACCATCGAAAAAATCTTCTAACGGTTATAGAACAGGAATGATTCCAAAATGAAAACTTTTTTGGCAATGAACAACTCGCTTTCAAGAAAGAAGCCTTAAGAGTTCCACTTGTGCTTCTCATATTCATATTTGAAATCAGCATAATCGATTACTTAGAATTCAATAGATTTGGTGAAAACAATGATTGAATTGTTAGAGGCACTTACTTCTTAGTTTTTCTTTTTGGGCCACGTAGATTTCTTAAAAATGACTAATTTCGATGATCTCTTGTAGACAAGATTTATTTTTGATCATGATGGCACGACAGCATTACAAAAGATTCAAGACGAAACTGGTACTTATATATGCTGCTGTTATTCAGATTCATTCCTACGAATTTACGGCGATAATCAAGCACCTGATATAGCTACAGCACGTATAGATGAATATATAGAGAATATTTTAAATAATAGAAATTTTACAATCACATTAGACATTCCTAAAGGTAATTATCAGTCGACATTATTAATATGTTCTCTCTAGCGTTTATAATGAGTCGATTATTCTTTATTCCATTTTAAGGTTACATCCGACATGTATTAAAATTGAGTACAAATTATCAAGATACGATTGGAAAGGAGTTTCATGTTAAAATAAATATATCAGATGTTAAACGTCAAATACAAATTACGGGTAAAAAACAGAATATCATAAATGCTGAAGAAGCAATTAAGAAGAACTGGTCAGCTACACTTACAGAACAGCAATTATTGCATAACAACAATGCAACTACGACCAACAATGAATGTCCAATTTGTTGTGAGATCGCCAATTATACTTTACAAGCATGTGGACATATTTCGTGTTTAAATTGCCTTAAACAAGAATTATCAAGAAAGTTTGATACAACACTCAGCAATGAAAGCATTAAGATTAAATGTGTAATGCAAGAATGTAATTCAGTACTTTCACTGAGAGACATCAAAACAATAATTGATCGAGAAAATATGTCTAAGTTAGCACGTGCATCATTTCAAGCTTTTCTTAAGACAGATATGGATATTGTTCAATGTATGGGTACAGATTGTAAGCAAGTAAGAAAAGAATTTTCTTATAAATAGGGCTATCGATATTGTTTAGATGTAATAGTGACTAAGATAATCGGCAAAAAAAGGCGAAAGACATATGTTACAAAATATTTTCATTTTCTGCCTATTGCATCTAATGCTATGGATTAGAAATGAAAAATGAAATAAAATTTACTGGAATTTAGTGCTTTGTAAATAGATGATCATTCAAGAGAATATCATACTCTTGGAAGTTTTTACAATCTTATGATCATCTCAGCAGAACTATCTTATTATTTTCATTTCACATGCCGTTAAAAAAAAGACGAATAGTATTTTAAAATCGAATTTCATCTGAAAAAAACTACTATCTATTTTGCAAACGAGCAATACTTAGAATATTCAAATGAAATTTGACTTCGTTTAATTTAGGTTTACCGTAAATCTAGACATCCACAATCATACTTTTGTGATACATGTCTTAAAACTTATTGTACTAAATGTGAAGTAGAGTTTCATATGGGTGTAACGTGTGAGCAATATCAAAAAGTTTTAAAACTGAAAAACGACGAAAAAGAATTAACGATGAATATAGGTAAGTGTTTGTATCTTTTGAAATAAAAAGTCTTTTACTACTTTTTTTATATTGGGTTCATAGGAAATTTGAAACTTAAACCGTGTCCTTCGTGTAAACAAGTAATTGACCGATACGAAGGATGCAATGCAGTTAAGTGTAAATGTGGAATTTCTTTCTGCTGGCTTTGCTTCAAGACTGATCCTAAAGATAGTAAGTTAATTTCACATGCGTGCATGTACATGAGAAGAAGATTGGTTAGTATAAATCTAATTAATTTTAATTTCTTTCTTATTTTTAGTTCACCATCATTTTGGAGATGTTAATTCATCCTGTTATGGAAAAATATTTTCACTATCCTAAGATGGAGAATGCGAGAATATAATGACGATGCTAGAGTTTGAAAATGAAAAAGACACATTTTCTATCGATTTATTCTTGTTCTTAAGTTATTTCTAGCTCAATCATCTTTTGTGTGTTGCTTTTTCTGAACAAATATACATTTTTTTTTAGAAAATACATAAGATCGCTTATATTTCGTTAACAACAATGCAGTTAAGACGCAGGCATTTTTTCCCATCATCGATGTAGTGTTAAAAAATCGTTAGTGTATTTCGACTTTGCAGTAGGTAGCCAATTTCATATTTCAAATTAGTATATTCCTCTGGGTGAGTATGAGTCGCGAAAATAGACACGAACATTCCCATCTACACCGAGGGTGAATATAGCTGTGAGTGTATTTACGTAATTAATAATTTAAACCCATATCTATATCTCATCATCGATTAGAACATTCTCACAACACACAAATCCACACCTTCAACCAAGAGTATTTTCTGCATTGCGCTATACGATATACGCATTATGTTGTAAGCATTCAGAAACATCCAGGGAAGTGTGTGAGCAGAGTGCATAATAGATCTATACATGCTTATAGAAACTCACACTTGTAGCTGAAGATTCGTCCTAAACCGACACCTCGCATTTGCCCGTCCGCATCCACAACCATGTTCTCTCTGTTGTTTGTTCGCCAGACTACTCACATTGCTGAGAGAGATATAAGATGTCAAAGTACAAGTTGAACTCGAAGTGATGCTGCACTTTTAATTTTTTTTTCATTCTTTGAATGGCTTTCAATTTCATTTCATGATTATTGTAGTTGTGAAACTGTGATGACTGAAATTCTTTCCTTTCAATTGGTCTCCTTTATTATTTTAGATAAAAAATACTTATCAATTACTCTTTTTACTTTCCCACTGTGCGCTGATTATTTGCAATCGCTTCACTGATCGGTAATTTTATTAATCTAGTAAGTATTAGGACAGTAAACAATCAGTAAGAAGTAATTGGTATATGATGTTTGTTTTCTGATTCATACTTAACACGAATATTCATGCATCCACTGTTTGAAATGTCTTTTAGTGTTGTACACTCAGGAATATTCTTATATCGTATTGAGAAATATGTAATTACCCAGGTGATTGAGTTCAATAATGAATCCTATTAGATCCGATATAATCCAACCATCGGATAAAATTCGATGAGATTCTGAGTTGCAGAATGATACTCAAGTCTGACGATCGGATTTCTATGAATATCGGATCAGATCTAACTGCGACATCCCTCCTAAGTTCGAAAGCGACATGATGACTAATGGAGCGTCAAATTTCATAGGAGCTTACCAGATACCACCATGCATTAGAACCAATTGGGTTTTTGAGTTTTAGAATCATCATCGGATTCGACGATTGTGGGTACTGGAATCAGTGTGCACAATAGAGAAGGAGTGTATAGATTATAACTGTCACCATTATTGCTGCATCTACTTACACTTATCCTGCTCACAGTATGTATTTTCAAAATTGATAGAATAGCTAACTACAAATAATAAAAAGTTGGAATCTATATAGACTAATAATTTCTGTCAGCTAAGATTTCAGATTTGCCAGTATGGATGTGAAGGTGTGTGTGTGTGTAAGTGAATGTGAATGTGGAACAAAAAAACCCACACTTCTCCGACTTCTACTCACTCACAACCAATTTGATATTAATGGATATCCCAGCAAGAATAAACTTCTCAGTATTTTACTGATAGCTCTATCAAAACAGATCTGTTCAGGGTCAATTTTTTCAAAAAAATCCATCTTTTTATCATCTACAAAAACCTATATTTCCTATTTCATTCGAACGTATTTTGCCTTTGGTATAAGATGACAAGTAAAGATCTTCAAAAAGTAATTTTATGTGAATACGAAGATAGTGATGGCCCTAACGAGATCGTTTTTGATTTAAATGGTTCTTTCGCATGAAGTACTATTAAACGATGGTGTGAAATGATTCGTGACACCAGTTCTATCCAGATATCAACACCTTCAGATGTTCCATGTTCTACTCGAACCCATAAAACGATCCAAAATACCAAGTATAAACTCGATCAAAAGAAGATGATATAAGTACGATGTTTGTCATAAGAATACGACATATCCAAATCAAGTCCAAATCGAATATTGAAAGAAGATCTGAAACTTCATGTTTAGAAGATGATAATCGAACCAAAACTGGATCGCTAATAACTTGCGAAAAGAGAGAACGATGCGCATTTTATTTTCAAGTGAAAGAATGTTTGATCTCGACGGTAAATACAAATCCCAAAATCAACGTATTTCGGTTGCCAGTCGAGATGAAGAAAATGAAAAAGTGCTATCAAAATGAAACAGAAATTTCCTCACAAGGAACAGCAGATTATGTTGAATATATCCAGAAAGTTTTTTCAATTGCACTTAAATATGGAAATAAGACCTTTGGAGAATATTAGACATTTTGATAGGACGGTGTGGAACATCACGTTCATCACGTAACATAAAAATGGTGTCGGGACAGCTTTCTATTGTTCATAGATAAAGATGATTGATCGCTGAATAGTCCAGATTTAAATAAATTGGACTACTTCATCTCCGATGAATTCGCGCAGTGTGTCAACTGA